TACACGCTGTACACACATGTACACACACACTCTACTACACAGCCACTTTACAATATACATTTTTTCTTTCTTTCTTCTATCACTGTACACAATCACATACACAAACACACACAATACTGACTGCAAGGGCTGTGGGTTGTCTTCGTCGAGGCTCCACAGCGGCGCAAGGCCGTCGTCAGTCCCCAGCAGTATCAGCGCGGAGCGGGTGGAAGAAGCCCGCGCGGCCCGCACCCCGCCGCCCCCCGCCTCGCCTCCCGCGCCGCCGTCCTCGCCTGCCGGCACGCACAGCGATCTCAGCTGAACCCCCGTCTGTCACATCATAAATATTGTTTTAATACTATGTCAACAGCTGATTGATACTTGAAGTGTGGGCATTAAAGGACATTGGGCAAACATTTAGATCAAAAGTCCATAGCTCAATATGGCATTTTGATAAGTAAACATAATCAGTGGCTCGTATGGTGCATAGATTGAGTAGCGAATGACCTCGACGTCCCACAGACAGGCGCGGCCATCGAGTCCCGCGGTGAGTACCACGGCGCCGGCAGCCACAAAGTCCACCGCCAGCACCGGGTACTCGTGCGCCGCCAGCTCGTGCAGCGCCTGCAGTTCCCCACGCTCCTCGCTCCAGCGGAACACGCGTGCCAGCCCGTCGCTGCAACATCATTGTCTCCTGAGCCATACGTCCACCTTTTTGATTTCTATGCCTCCCAGACCCTAACCATTACCTAGAAGCGGTGGCTACCAGGTCCCCGTGTGTAGCGATGTCATTGATGGCACCGGTATGCGTTGTTGAGCTCCATAAGTGCTGCAGACAGGTGTGGTCACTACCCTCGGGCCGTCCTGCCACTGTCGTCTGCGTCGCAATACCGTCCTCGTCGATCACCTCGTCGTCGAGTGGTCCGATGCCCTTTAAACATTGCACGTCGTCACGTCACTGCTCTAGTCGCATACTGCTCGATTTATGATTTAAGCATGGCTTACTTTGAGATCGCCGAGGCCGAAGTGAGCGAGTGCTTCACACGGAATCTCCAACTCATCGTTGATCGTGAGGGAGCCCAACGACCACATCCTGAGCGACCTGTCATTCGAACCTGAAGGGCAACAAAAGCCTCAATCTGCAGCAGTGGTTGCAGTGCATAAGAAGTATTCACATGGCGAGAGACTGACCAGTAATCATATACCGCATATCGTGCGCCAGCACCACGCAGGTGAGGTACCGCGGGTGAGCGTGCACCACTCGCACGCAGTGCAGCTGGGCGCCGGCCGGCAGCCACAGGCGCGCCGTGCGGTCCAGCGAGGCGGAGGCCAGTAGCGCGGCCTCGCCCCAGCCCGCCCAGCGCAGCGCCGTGACTGCCGCGCTGTGTCCGCTCAGCCGGTACCCGCCTCGAAGAAGGCCGCGCGGCCAGCCGTCCTCCACGCGGGTATGCCACACCCGAATTAATGCGTCCTGTCCGCCCGTGGCGGCCATGTTGCCGTCCTCCGTGGCGTCGGCACACAGCGCGCCCAGATCGTGCACGTTGTCCATCCAGGCGAGGGGTACCACTGGCGACGACGACACCCCGTTACATCCGCTCCGACATACCTCTGTGTGCCACGTAAACTTGCTTTGTTAATGTATTGAATTAATATTTTTTATTATAGAATATATAATAAAATATAGTGACTATAAGGTACATACAGTCGCCTAATAAGGCTCACCTTATTTAAAAACCTCGTAAAATCTTCCAGATAAATAAAGTAGGGAAAGACATATTGGTAGTTGTAACATATCTTCATCTATACATATAATAAAATTGTAGAAAAGTGCTGTCTGTACATTGAAAATAAAAATAAAAAAAAATAGCAGGGGCTATTGTTATATCGACGTCGAACCCAAAAATGTAACTAACTTTTTTTTGTCTGTTTGTCTGTTTGTCTGTTTGTCTGTTCACGCTAATCTCAGAAACAGCTTATCCGAGTAGGATACGGTTTTCACGAATATATTGTGGTATGCTTCAGTTATGCTTTAGTGTTTGTTTCATGTCAATCGGTTCATAAATAAAAAAGTTACGTCAAATTAAAGAATCACGTCGAACACTATCTATCTATCTATACATATAATAAAATTGTAGAAAAGTGCTGTCTGTACATTGAAAATAAAAATAAAAAAAATAGCAGGGGCTATTGTTATGTCGATTTCGAACCCAAAAATGTAACTAACTTTTTTTTTGTCTGTTTGTCTGTTTGTCTGTTCACGCTAATCTCAGAAATGGCTTATAAATATATATATATTTAACAGGGTGCGGAAAAGGTGATAGTGGTTTTATTCCTCAGATTCCTCTCATTCCAAAAAATTTTCCGTTTAATTTTAAACGAATTCAGTTTCCAGTGAGCCTATGTTTCGCCATGACAATTAATAAAGCTCAAGGTCAGACTCTAAAAGTTGTGGGTATAGATCTAAGTATCAGCTGTTTTTCGCACGGTCAATTGTATGTGGCTCTGTCCCGTGTTAGCAATCCCAGCAGCCTGTATGCTTTCACCCCCGATGGCCATACGTCTAATATTGTATATAGAGAAGCATTACAGTAAAGTAGGTTTTTTAGCTACCCAAAATGACTGTGAATATGATCCAAATCTAAAATAAAAATAAGTATATATTTAAAAAAAAAAAAACGCTGCTCATAGTCACCATTCTACGCGAACGAAGTCGCGGGCACAGCTAGTTAATATTATAAAGAGGAAACTAAAAAGCATAAAATAATTATTATTGGCGCCATGCGCGGTCGGATTGTTTACCGCCAGGTGATCCGTCTGCTCGTTTACCGGCTTGTATCATAAAAAAGTTTCCTCTTTATTTTTCTGGAAGATTTTACGAGGTTTTTGTATGCGACGTATATTTTGTAAGGTATTTAGTTTTTTGAAGTCGGCTTTTAAATGCAGTTTAATATATTTATTTTATTATTTTTAGTTTACAGTTACATAAATCTGTTTTGTTATTTATAATCCACATAGATGGCAAGTTCTAATAAATACAAATTATACAAACCCAAACACAAAATAGTTACTGTAAACCGTTGAAGAGTTGTTAAGGCAACTTAACAATTAAACTTCTTCATCATCAGACCCTTAATGACAGTCCCCGCTCCATCTAGGTGTAAAGTTCTCAAAATCCTTATTGAAAAGCATAACAGACGCATTACTCGCCGTATTTATATCGTTTAGTAAAATATACTGTTCCACTAAACGCACATATGGCCAGTTTCCACCACCGTCGAGATCAAACATATGAGTTTTCCCAATTGGCATTTTGATATTTTACTATTTTTTAATTAGAACTCGTCGCCACTGCAGTATAATATGATGCGCAATCAAAGACGGTTGAAACGAGACTGATTTACTATGCGTTTACCCGCACTACTATAATATATTATTATCACAAATAGTTATTTTCTTTTTTAGTTTTTAAGGAAGCCATACACGTTAGGTTTTGCATGATGGTTTTAGCCGTGCATGCATAACTGACAGGCAAGCCCTAGCGTGTATGTTATTAAACTGTATAGTTGTCGGTGCATCGGTGCTCGGTTATGTTTGTCGGTTTTGCATACAAAGTTATAACCATCATGCAGAACCTAGCGTGTGTGGCCTCCTTCACTTTTCGTTTCTTTTCGTTTGAAGTCGGTTGTTTGAAACGCAGTTTTTTAATTTTACATAACATAACATCACGCCTTTTATTTCCGAAGGGGTAGGCAGAGGTGCCCATTATGCCACTTTACAGTGTAACACCCACTTTTCACTGTTTATATTATGAGTGCCATGTTATAGGGGGTGAGAGATTTTTTAATTTTATTTTATACTTTTTAGTTTAGTACTTTGATATTATACACAACCCACATGGATGCAAAGTTTTCATCAATACAAACTATCCAAGTTCAAACACCGGGAGGTTACTATTAACCATTGAGGAGTTCCCTTAGATATCATACTACTTCACCTACTACTACGTCACCCCCCCCCCATCTAGGTGTAAAGTCCTCATCAATACAGATTATCAAACCCAAACAACACAACATAGCTACTTGTAGCCGTGGAGGAGTTCCCTTAACTATCGTATTACTTCATCATCAGACCCTTACTGACAATTACACCCCACCTAGGTGTAAAGTCCTCATCAATACAAATTAATCAAACCCAAACACAAGGTAGCTACTGTTAACCGTTGAGGAGTTCCCTCGACTGGCTCTTGGCTCCATCATCAGATCGACTCCAGACCTTTATCAGATTGTAGTTGTTATTAAAACTTAATGAAAAAATTAACAAATGCATGAGTCGCCCCTATAATTTTTATAAGTTCTCCTCGGTTTCCCTGGTCTTCCATCATCAGATCCTGATTTCCTTATCATGGGACCATTCTAGGGCTATCTCCTTTCCAACGAAAAATAATTATCAAAATCGGTTCATAAATAACGGAGTTGTCGGCGAACAAACATAAAAAAGCATATATACGGTCGAATTGAGAACCTCCCCCTTTTTTCAAGTCGGTTGAAATATAATATATGTTCACTGAAAGATTGAATCAGAGCTGAGTAAATCTGACAAAAACATGAAAAAGAAAATCAAAATCCATCGGGCTAGGTAACAAGCTGATCGATGTCGGGGGTCCGTTGGGGTTAAGGTGTTCTTGAATGGAGGCAGCAAAGGCTGGATGGAGATCGATGTCAGTGGCGTTCTAATGGAGAGGCCTACGTCCAGCAGTCGACTGAAGTGGGTAGATGATGATGACGATTTCACAGTCAGTTATTTAAGTGAGGAACCGTAAAAAGTAAATGAAATAAACCTATCAATGAAAAAATAAAGAACTCACCCGCGAGGTCAAAAACTTTGAGCACGCCGTGCGTACAGGCAGTGAGCAACAGCGCGCCCCGCGCCGGCGCCGCCACCGCGTGCAGCGCGCCCTCGTGCGCGTGCAGCCGCGCCAGCTGCACGCCGCGCGCCGCGTGCCACACGCACAGCACGCCGTCGTCGTGGCCCACCAGCAGGCGCGCGCGAGTCGCCCAGCACAGCGCGCGCGAAGGATCGGCGCGCGCGAGTCGCCCAGCACAGCGCGCGCGCCGCCGCCGCGCCCGGCGCCGCCAGCAGCCGCCGCGGCATCAAGTCGCGGCCGCTCCACACGCGCGCCACGCCGTCTACGCCGCCCGACGCCAGCAGCGCGCCGCTGGCCGCCCAGCGTGCCGCGGTGACGCCGTAGCGGTGCGCGTCACTGGAGCGCGCCACCTCGTCCCAGCCAGCGCCGCGCTCCCAGGTCCACAGTCGCAGCACGCGGTCACCGCCGCCAGTGACCAGCCGCGCGCCATTCGCGTCCGCGCACGTCACCTCGCTCCTGTGACCGCGCACTGTCTGCAGGAGTGTTGGTTCTTCTATTTCTAGCATGGCTGCCGACTCCTCGGTGATTCTATTAGATTGCAGTCTCATAGGACAATATTCATCTCGTTGACATGTAGACGTCGCGTTACGCAGTCCATAGTGAAGACGTGTAGAGCTCGATGGCAGTGACAGCGTAGTGCCGCGAGTGGCCTCGCTGTCTGGCCGCGGCGACGTATCGGTAATCGATGACGTGGCTCCGACCCTCCGCCGAGCGTCGTGTGAAGCCGACTGGTGGACGCACGACACCTTCCTCCACTTCAGCTGCTTCACTTATTTTAATATTTCATAACAAACTGTTAGACTACGGGAGACACACATTTCCAACTGCGTTCCAACGTTGACATACAAAACTACGATCAATCAACATCGTTAAATACCATTGTAAGCATCACTATGAACAGTCAGCAGGTGCGTGACTGTATGAATGTGGATACCAATCACATAGGTATCGATCGCATGCTGTAGTGTGGTGAGTACGATTAGCTCACGTCGATACTGACAGTAAGTACACGTGTACGCGGAAGCTACTGGACCTCGCGTGCCGCAGGACACTACGCTCACCACATATATTTCAGTGACAAACATTAACTCGTCGAGTACCGTCATTATAACACAATTATAGAACAATAGGTTGCGGTCACCGGTGACCGCTTGGTGTTTGACAGTTTAATTAACTTTGAAATTTTATTCTTAATACAAGTTTTATCACAATTTTCTATTCATGAAAAAAAAAGAAAATGACTGTATTATGTTTCATATGTTAGACCGAAATAATAAATAATGTATCAAATACCGAAGTGGTTTTATAATTTATCCAATTAATATGGACACAAAGTTCAATGTTCAAAAAAAAAATCTGTATAGTACTAAGTGTCTATCTATGAGATGCTATTACCAATCGACACGTAATGACGTAATAAGTCTGGCAACTTTAATTTTTGTGATACCCACATTGGTGAATACTTGTTTAAAATAATGATATATTATTTTAGTAGAAAAAATTTCAATGTACCGGGCGGTACATTGAAATTTGCATGGCATGGCATGCTCATACTCGGTAGTTTAATTTTATCGTGTTTCCTCATATCTTAGATGAATTGTATTCTTTTTATGAGAAATAAAATTCTTAAATCAGAATGTTCCTGGTACTGTGACATGTTCGTCACATGTCAGATGTCACACTGATTGGCCGGGTCAGCCGTTCTCGAGATATTATAATATAAATATGTACACATTGACTCGGTAGTTGCCGCAACTGTCGAAGTTCTGCTGTTTCCCTCTAATACGTGTCTTGAGCTTTTGAGGGGGGAAAATCATCACTCACGCACTCCTCCTCCTTTTTAGCTAGCATGACTGCTTTGCAGAAGGAGGAGATGCCATCCCAGTCCCCCTCGCTCCGTACCATGGTCTGAACCAGAGCCGGACGCGAGAGGTCGCCGTAGCCGATCATATCCTTGAGGACAAGGCGGTGCTCAGCCCACGCAGGGTACACCGCCACCGTATGCTCCACCGTGTCCTCCGGGTGGCTCTCGCAGTGATGTCACCCGGGCTTTTCCTGTTCCTGACGTCACATCGGGCTCACCACCATATGTGGCCCGCGACTGCTGCGATCGGCGGTCATTCATTCACTCGCTCGCCCGGCACGACGCCGTGCGCACATATCGGTTGACCCTAACAATCAGTACCTATTTAAATACAGTCTTCTCATCATACCGAAGTCTTTTATTATTCAAGACCACCAGCAGCACACCTGGAGCTTGATATTCAAACATTTCCTTTCGCCTAATCCAAAACAGGAACCTACCGAAACTTCCATGTCCGGTAAGCACCTGCGTCAGACAGTGAGTGAAGACGCCGTAGCGTCTCTCAAGCCACTCCTCAAAGAGGGGACTTAACGCTGCAACGACAGCGAGTCCAGCTCTCAGTTGTAAAATACGTGTCTAACTACTTAACTATTTAAGACAATCTACCAGACGGGCATTAAATTAAAAATTGTGTATCTACCCTATTGCTGTGACATTTCATTAATTTTATGGTATTAATATTATGTGTGACATTCATGTAAAATTGACATTTACAAGATACTAACGACCCGCCCCGGCTTCGTACGGTTGCAATACTTATGTAAAAATACCTACTACAAAATGTCCTTATACACCACGTTCACAGCTATTTTGTCATTAGACAATATAAACATGTTTTATATTGATATTTTCCTCGCTAGAGGGCTCTGATAAACGCGTGCGATCGTTGCAAGTCATGAAGTGCTCTAGAACGAAGCGCGGCCATCAACGCCGCAACAAATACGTCCCTGCATTTTAAATTTGTAATATCTTCGGAAATATTCATTTAAATTACATGCTGTAAAAAGCATATTGATCTATGATAAATGCATAATTTATTTTAACATTTACTTAGTTGGATAAGGATTAATGGTGTATTGTTTAAAATAAATTCGTAAATAACCATTGATAGTAAAGAATAAAAAATGGTTATGGTGGGTTATCCCTTATAGATAGACATATACCATCGCGGAATTTTTTGTTGAACTTTTTAAAGTGGTCAATACTGTAGTACATTATTTTGGTCTATCTCGTAGGGTACACCCAGCGTTTGCAATATAAGCGCAAAAAAACGTGCTGATTTACGACATCACATTAGAAACCTCTAAATTTATCAGTGTTTATCTATTATATTATACATGTATTATACATATAAACCTTCCTAAAGGATCACTCTATCTATTAACATAAAAAACCGCATCAAAATCCGTTGCGTAGTTTCGAAGATTTAAGCATACAAAGGGACATAGGGACAGAGAAAACGACTTTGTTTTATACTATGTAGTGATATAATATTGTGACATTTCTGATTTTGTAACATTTTTTCTTTATATTTTAATTTTCTTTTTGTTTTGTCTTGGGGATATCATTGTAACATATATACATTGAAAGTAAAATAAGAGAACCTAAGTAATTATAAAATTAGAAACTTAACAACTACTATTGAACCTTATTTGCGCAACTAAATCATTTTTGAATTATTTGTTTTTAATTTACCTACATCATTCTCGCATATACCTTTATCTATTGTATATATATATATATATATCTATATATACCTCTATCCATTGTATACATACGTATACAAAAGAGGATAACGTAGCAAATGCGGGTACATAATATAATAAATGCATCGCGCAATAAATGTGAAATAGAGCACGCGAGGGGCGCGCACCGTGACCTTGAGTTGGCGCGCGACATACATTACTGCATAGTTAACTAGCGTCCACCACGAGTCCACGCGGCGCGCGACGCCTCGGTAAGTACCGCGCAGATCGATTGACCTGTCAACGTGTCCCAAGGCCAGCCTTTGTCCAACTACCTAGCAAGGCCCGTCCAGTGACCGCTACCAACGATACTGGATTCCACCGGAGTCCACGTCCGACTCTCTCTATACCACTGCTACTACTCTGCAAAGGTCTAAAGACTATCACTAACTACTTATTATATAACTATTATCGTTTAATTCAGGAGATACGCTCTATTTATGTGTCTTCTTTGTGCATATTTACATTGTAGAAGCTTTTTATCGACACATTTTTGCCTGTTTTAAATGCAGAATCTAGCACTTTGATAATTAACATTATTTCATGCAAGAAATAACTAACACTGTATTATATCAATGCTCAGATACCACCGGCTGACGACCGTGCATCTCAAACCTGTGGAACCGACATGCAACAAAACGTGTTGCGCGTTGATGTCTTTTGTGGAGAACATAAGCGTGACTTACACATGCGATGCTGCGAAAATATTATTGATTGATTTAATTCGACGTTAAACTACTTTTACCATTCGTAAAATTAATGCACCGTGATGTTTATCGCATTCGTCGGTCAGTTCTGTGACTATATGTGTCGTTGTGTGTGATATACCACTATTCTAATGTGCCCACAAAAGTAGGAAGTTGTTAGGCAGTTGGTCACGCTGAGCGCTGTCACGTCGCGCGTCGTGTTCAATGTCATGATTTTTTTTACAATGTTAATCATATCGACTCTTGCGGGTGCGAAGACAACCTTCTGGCTTGTACTCACTGCCTAACTCGACAGGTACACACTACGACGTTTAACGGAACTAACCACTACTGAACCTCATGCAACTAAAATTCTCACATTTTCATTGAAGGAACGAAGGTAAGAACAAAAGCGCCTGAAATGACGTGCAAGTACATAGGTAGCTATAGTTGTGTGGTGGTGCTACATCCAAGTCCAGCAATACCGTCGTCAGCCACACTACAGGCGTGAGCCTGTGTACATCGGACTGGGACGGCAGAGCCATTTCATGTCAGTATAATAATTATAATGAACATAATAATATTATGTTAACAACACCACAAAATTATTGTTACGATTACGCTACGTTATAATGGAGCTGGCGGTGCGGTAATAGATTATTTAGATAAGAGGAGGGGCACGACCTCACGGAGATGCCCCCAGCCTCCGTCCGCGGCGCGACACTAGTGTGCCGGCCACGGAGCGGCGCGCACGCACCTCGAACCAGCGACCCACGCGCGCTTGTGTGTGTCAGTGTGTCAGTGTCAGTGCAGTATCAGTGCAGTGTCAGCATGGCGCGCTTACTCGCGCTGCTGCTGCTCGCGAGTGTCGGTAATTATGTGTTCCGCCATGTTTGGTATAACTTCAACACAAATACAGACAATCAATAATAATTATAACATAATGTATAAAGTCTAAAATCCTAGAGTGAGTCGGCCGTGGCGCTGCAAGAGATTACTTTAGCGCGTCTCTGAACCGATGAACTATAAAATATACTGATACATAACTGATCAAATATTAATTTCAAGTAAATTAAGTAAAGTTACTTGAATAAGTATCAATACTGTTTCGAAGAACGAGCTTGCCAAATAAGTAACTACTTTCAATTGATTTTAAAAACAAAAACGTACATCTGATTTTGATTGAGACGATAGTATACAAAAAAATAATAACAAAAGAGAGATACTGAAACGCACAAAATCTATTCTTATTATACTAGCTTTTGACTTCCTTCGCGCAATATCCCATTTTCACATTCCGGAAGGATTTAAATAATATTATAAAGAAAGAACCGGTGGTCTACCGATTTTCTGCAAAAAACTTCACATAAATCGTCCATTAAATAGTACGTACAAAGCCTTAACATTAAGTTTGGCTAACATTAAGCTGTTTCTTGAGTCATAAAATTACAACGAAAAGTGACATTGATTTTCATAATACATATTTATTCAACCTTAATAATGAAGTTATGGGGGATTAAAGTGGGGAAGAATAACCGAATGTCTATAAATGTAGATACTCCAGTGGAGTCTCAAACGAAAGCGAATAGTGATGACTTTATCGAGAGTGTTGTAGAGAAAAATTATTATGGGAATAATATAAATAAAAAGACAAGTCTTTCGATAGCAGTGTAGGTACATTATTATATTATAATAAGTTTGTAACTATAACGTATACTTCTTATAAGTAGTTCTACGAGGAATATAAAACTCTAAACTCTGTGAGTAAACGATAAATTACTGCCACTCTTCCCTAGCGATAGAAACAAAGTCGTTGTCACATGTTGTATGACATCTCTACGTACGATATTATATCATTGTATTGTATTCCATTCCAAAGCAATTAGATCAATTACTTCTGTAATTAGTAATTTATCTTTGTTAGTTGTTTAAAGAACTTTCGGTAGTTGAGTGTTGAGCTGTGCCCTCAGTCACAATCAAATAATATCAATAAAATGTTCCAAAATAATCACATATTAATAATTTATTTGGCGCTACTTCGTTCCTTATTCATTTTCATATTATTATTATTTTTAGATTTGTATGACTGCACAGGTGATGCGGTAGTTGGGCAACTGACTGCGATTCTCGCAAGGAACAACTCTTTGTGTGATCCACAGATTGTTGTTCCGGGTCTGGGTGTCATGTGTATATGAACTTGTATGTTAGTAAACGAACCCACTACACAGGAAACAACCCTAGTGTGGGGCAACGTTTTAAAAAAAAATTAAGCTTTCAGATTGAGAGTTAGGCTGGAAGTACTTGGCCGTGGTTACCGCTTACCGAGCACTTGTATTTCGAATTATTATACTTACTTAGTAAACTGATACATTAACAAAATGATACAAATTTATACCAACACTAAATAAAATCTTAAGGCAGTTATGGCAGAGAATCTCGCTCAACACCGCGGTTTATAAAACTGTCAGAATAATAAAAATAAAAACTGCTTTTAAAAAACCGACGTCAAAAACAAAAACCTAATAACAAGCAAAAGGTAAAAACTAAAAACCAAAAAATAACTATTGTTAGTCATACGTACTTATAGGTTACCCACCCATGACTGATAGGTAAGATGTCGGTGATCCATCATCATCCATCATCCCTAATGTTAATTACATCTCATCTAGGCGTACAGATCTTCTCAATACAAATAATTTAATCCCAAACACGGAGTCATTGCTACAATTCCCTCGGCTGTCTCCTGACTCTAGCATCAGATCAACTCCATACCTTTATCAAATTGTAGTAAATCTATATCAAAAAATTAACAAACCCCTCGCCATCCATACAATTTTGAAAAGTTTCTCTCAATTTCCATGGAATCCCATCATCAGATCCTGACCTGGTCGAAATGAGACGTCGTTTAAAAAGAGCCATTTATGGTTGAATGTTAGAACATCTTTTCTCTGAATCTCAGGTTTCCTACAGAACAATTGCTGGACGGTTAGACAGGTACCAACATAAAAGTATAGAAAAATATTGTTTCTGAAATTTTGAAAAAATAACTTTTAAACTGTCAAACATCGCGAGGACACCGGTGACCGCAACCTATTGTTCTTTAACCGTTTGAGTACCGTCATTGTAGACACAATTAAAGAACAATAGGGTGCGGTCACCGGTGTCCTCGCGGTGTTTGACAGTTTAATTGTGTCTATAATAACGGTACTCAACGAGTTAAAAATGTCTTGCTTTAATTATAACCACGAAATGTATTTTAAACTATGACAGACGACAGTCACTGAACATGGTTTTATATTATACACATACACAATTTAATTTCTGTTTACTACCTAAGCCTAATCTGGGCCTGATATCACGAATGGCCTTTGAAGTGAAAATTCTGTAAGACGGGCTTTGGGCCGTAATGCCGTGTGGATTAAGAAAAGTATGTTTTCATTGAATACTCGGTATATCGACCTTATTACCAAATTAAACAATTCTTACAGACATTTTATTTAAAAACACCCTTCTGCAGACGTATTTTGTAGTGTAGTACATGTGTTCTGTGTGCAGGCGCTGGTGTGGCGGAGGACGCGCGGCCGCGGCGCACGCGCACTGCCGCCGACACCGCCGACCGCTGGCGCAGTCTGCTAGCTGGTCAGTACTACTTCCATTACTTTTAACAAGTTCCTTAAAATGGGTTGCGTATTACCAGTTACCACTTTCAAGCTGAGATTGAGTGCAATCATTACAAACTGAACACAATCTGCAATACATCATTGTTTCGTCAAAAATTGGAAAAGGTTGTGCACATAATCATTATGGCCACGGTTCTTGGAATTATTGTACAATCTCGACGAATGCCAGATCGTCCGACGTAATATTTTCAAAAAAAGGTATTTTTTTCTTAAATGTCCCCAATGCTTGAAAACAGTCAAGTATGATGTTGTTGATTCTTGGGAGACCTGTATATATGTATACGTGTGACGCTGGTGTGTGAGTGTGACAGTGTTGTATGTGTGCAGAGTACTCGCGGGGCGCCGGCGCCGGCGGCTCCTGGTTCCCGCCCGCCATCCCTGTGCAAGTTCCGCTGCGTGAGTACTGCAATGGGGAGCGATGGGGGAGACATGTTGTTCTAACGAATACCTTACACTACTTACTTATAGGGCGAGGTGTCACACACACTACACCTCCCCCTTTTTTATAAAAAAAAAACAAAACATTTATTTTTGTCAATAAAATACTTTCTTAAAATATTCGTACTGTTATTAACACCGACAGTTATTAAAAGATATTCAAGTTAACACTTTGAAATTCATTTGATTAATTGTTTTGACTACTGAAGTAATTACAATACAACTGCTATCTCTTTTACAATCATCTTTTAACCACTTACTCACTGTTCTATATCTAGGCACACCTAATACATTTTACTTAACTTAAATATTTCTTTAATAGAATCGTAAAGTACATTATAATTATATATTTATACAATTATATTTATTATATGTTTTACAGAGTATCTGGCGCACGGACTGATATATTTTTTTCAGGAACTTGGAAGCTACCCACCAATCCTTCATCCCTAATATCAGGGTTGGTTATTGGTTACATATGATTTTTTTATTGAAATGAATAGTATTCCCAATGTTTCCATTAACTCAAAATAACTATTTGTTATTTGTGCGTCTAGTGGTCCAAAATTAATTTTGTTGTAGAGGTATATAGTCCAAAATCTATTAAATCTAGATACATCTTTGTTTAATACAAATGGTCTTAAAACTTCTTACTAATTTAATTTTATTCACACGACAAAAATTTTTCAATTTATAAATTAATTATAAAGAAACACTAAGCCATTTTTAGCTTAGTTTTATTTTGAAGAGTTCTGTAGTTAATAGCCGTTCTAACAGTATGCTACAAGTTGCAGAAATTATTTATTATGTTGTAAACATACCGGTCACTCTATAAAAGAAATCATATCTGACCAACCGTGATATTTAAGACGAAAGGTGTATAGGTAAAAGGTAGCTAATGACCTCATAAATTACTGAAAAAAATGTGTTGGTCCATGCGCCACCCTGTGTACAAACAGAATTATGTCCTATTTGCTACAACTGTTATGTAAGTACCTACGACCATGTAACATTTTACTTCGATATCAAAATGACCAAATTGTAACCTTGTATGCTTTTACTATAAACTCAGAAGGAGACAGCAGCGGGCGCGCCTCGCTGTCGGTGCTGGTGGTGCCGGTGCCGTTCCCCGTGCCCGGCCTCGCCCCCGCCCCCGCCCCCGCCGCCGCTCCCGCTACCGCC